TTTGGGGATTTTATGCCCACTGTGTGCACACTTACGATTTTAGCACATCAACGACCCTCTTCTCCTCCAAAGAATCCTAATCGGTTGATTGCTCTCTTCTCCATCGATATACGCCCTCTTCTTCTCCAAAGGTAACTACTATACTTCTCCTCCAAACACGTTTAGGTATTTGCTGTTTCATAATCAGTATTTGATGTTTGCTATTTTTATGTTGGATGTTATTTGTCGCCAAGTTCTTCAAAAAGCACCAACAAGTTATTTGTCGGTTTTAACCAAGATCTTCAAAAAGCACACAAAAAAAAAATAGAATCTGTGTCATGTCTTGCAGTGGTCTTACCATCTCTGCATTGGTTGACCACACCCAAGCTTTGGCCATTGATCCATGCTTGAACCTTTCCTATACTATTCATATCCAAAGCCAATGGCTCATCACCATCAGGTGCATTGAAAGAATTGAAGACCCTTATGGCTTGATTCATTGATTAGTGTTATGAAAACAGGCCCTAAGTTGGTTTTCATTGTCAACTGGACAAATCCACTTAAGAATTTTGATTCCAATTTTTCATGTGCACACGTTTAGGTATTTGATGTTTGGTGTTTGATGTTTTTAAGACCTCAGGGGTAAATTGGTCATTTATGTTATTCAGACTGTTGATTCAGATAGAAAAGTAAACAACAACATAAATTTATACAGACACACAAATTTATCCATATAGGACTTAATAGAAAATTTGGTAAACATCCCCTTAGTATAGAATGAGAATATGCATTACCTACTTTAATTGAACCACCATGCATGCATATATATGATAGGTTCAAAAGGAAGAAAAGAAGAAAGAGTGGGAGGCCATGTCTCTCAGCATACTTATTACATCTCATATATTGTCCTCTTCTGTTTAATATTTAAATGTCTTTTGTAGTGTATTTAGAAGCAACCAATACACTTAGAAATTAACTAATAAACAACTTAAAACCAACCATAGTTTATTAGTTAGTTATTAGTTATTTCATATAAATTTTATAAAAAAATATAAAACTTATATAATTAATGTCAAACATAACAAATTAAGTGTACATTTAAAACAATGGAAATAACAGTATGTATCAAATACATATTAGACTTGAACACTAGTCAAAATATATATAATATATATTTTATTATTACCAGAAATTATTATTTCGATTAATAGTAATTTGCTTGACAATTGTTTGGATTGAAAATAATGGAATTACTTCGATCGTACGATTGAGGTTAATTTGCTTGTATGTGTGTGACCTTTTGGGATCGTGTATCATTAGTCGTATCGTCAAGTTTAGTGTCATGAACATACAGATCTAATAGTGGGGTGGGTGGCGGTTGTGACGACTAACAATAGTGGTGTGACCAAAACGATGGGGGTGGGTGGGTGCGGTTATGGCAACAACTTAACATTGGTGGAGAAAGGGAAGGTTGGTTGGGGTGTTGGTGGCAAAGTGGTGGAATGATAATATTAATTGGTGATGGTGGTGGTAGTGGTGATAACGGTAGGGGCGGGATAATGGTGGCATGGGGGGTTCGGAGTAGTGGTGTTGGTTAAATTGGATGCAAAACTAAAGAGTGGGATCCAGACTTGGGTGACACTATATAACTCAATCAAACTTTTAATCAGCTCAAAAATTCTGGTTTAGATTTATCTCTTGTTGTCTTTTTAAAACCAAATTATAGCATTTGCCACAAAATAGAATTGAAATTATTCACTTATGTCAAGGAGTGATCAAATCCCTCTATCGTGGAATTCAACGAAATCCAATTAATTCAATCCGTGAACCAAACATCATTGAATAATTTGATCAAATGCACTTGTCAATCCAATTCCATCAAATTACTTGCAATTCTGTAAACCAAACAACTCCTAAGGGGGCGTTTGGTTCACCGAATGAAATTTAGTGGAATTGGAATCCATCAAAGGATTTTGATTTTGAATGAATTGGAATG